TTATACACTGTAACACCACAGCTATGAGTTATACAATTGTACACTTTGACAAAAGCACGGACTCATTAGTCTCATTGATGATAGTGGAACAGTATCCATTGCATAAACACAGTGCTTTGTCATATATACCATGCGACAGTCAATGTGTTCTTCAATCGTATTATTTTGTATAACTATCCCAACCAAAGTAGGGGTTATATGTACTGAATCCCAATACTAGTCATGGTTTGAATCTGGTGTGGCTAACTTTCTCATAGGTTATGAATAGTTCATTCATTCAACTCCCTTCCGCTTCAAAACTTCCAAACCTTGACACTTAGCTAAGTTATCCAAGTTCAAAAAATTTCAATAGTAACAATTGTGTGAATTATTAATCTGAGCATGAATTTAAAAAAAAATGTCACTTATCTGCAATTGAAAAAAAAAACCATGGCGATTACTTATCTACATACTGTAAAATGACTTATTTTCACTGGGTTTAAATTTCGCTGATTTACTATTTCAGGTATATTTAGTGGGATTTAAATTCATGGTTTTATCATTTAGATAATGTGTTCTATGCTAAATTTTAAATATTCACTGGGTTTTAATTTAGCACATTCCTCAGTCAGTGAAATAAACAAAATTAAAACCCAGTGAATAATTAACCTCTTTACAGTAGACACAAAAGACTAAGGGTGAAGTCACAGAAATGAACAAATGGCCAGTAAAATAAGTCACATGACCAAGAAAGGCATCAGTGTCCACATATTGCTTTTGATATGTACAACACAGTGCAGCGTACACCCAGCTACTTTGATTTCAAGCATATATTACAAGTACAATCTTATTTAGTTTCAAAGCCACACATTTTTGGCAAAATATTCATTCACACTAGTACAATGAATCAAGTATCAGAGAAAATCAGTAATAACATAACACAAAATATTAAAAATATGAAACCACCAACCCTAGGAAATATGAAAGAAATCTAAAAAAATGTATTTACTTAAAACATAAATATCAGATATTGCAATGAAATGAATAAATATAATAATAAATCCATAAAATCCATTCTAGTACAAAGTTTAAATAGTCTAAAATGCCAGTTTTGACCAAAAAGAACAAAAATAATTAAACAAAAATATACTAATTACTTTGAGAACTTTTCTAAGAAAAACAATACTACCACTACTGGTAGGGGTGGAAACGAGTCAGCATGTTAGCCAGGATTATACCACTACTGGTGGGGGTGAGAACTAGTCAGCATATTAGCCAGGGTTATACCACTACTGGTAGGGGTGGAAACTAGTCAGCATATTAGCCAGGATTATACCACTACTGGTAGGGGTGAAAACTAGTCTGTATATGAGCAAGGGTTATGCCACTACTGGTAGGGGTGGAAACTAGTCAGCATGTTAGCCAGGATTATACCACTACTGGTGGGGGGTGAGAACAAGTCAGCATATTAGCCAGGGTTATGCCACTACTGGTAGGGGTGGAAACTAGTCAGCATATTAGCAAGGGTTATGCCACTACTGGTAGGGGTGAAAACTAGTCAGCATATTAGCCAGGATTATACCACTACTGGTAGGGGTGAAACTAGTCTGCATATTAGCCAGGATTATACCACTACTGGTGGGGGTGGAAACTAGTCAGCATATTAGCCAGGATTATACCACTACTGGTATGGGTGGAAACTAGTCAGCATATTAGCAAGGGTTATGCCACTACTGCTAGGGGTGGAAACTAGTCAGCATATTAGCCAGGATTATACCACTACTCGTAGGGGTGGAAACTAGTCAGCATATTAGCCAGGATTATATCACTACTCGTAGGGGTGGAAACTAGTCAGCATATTAGCCAGGATTATACCACTACTGGTGGGGTGGAAACTAGTCAGCTTTTAGCCAGGATTATACCACTACTGGTAGGGGTGGAAACTAGTCAGCATGTTAGCCAGGATTATACCACTACTGGTAGGGGTGGAAACTAGTCAGCATGTTAGCCAGGATTATACCACTACTGGTAGGGGTGGAAACTAGTCAGCATGTTAGCCAGGATTATACCACGACTGGTAGGGGTGAAAACTAGTCAGCATATTAGCCAGGATTGTACCACTACTGGTAGGGGTGGAAACTAGTCAGCATATTAACCAGGATTATACCACTATTGGTAGGGGTGAAAACTAGTCTGCATATTAACCAGTATCTTTCCATTTCACAAGATATATACTATGGTCTTGCATACTTGTAGCAAATACCAAGCCTTTTTCCTGTTCCAAACTGAACCCATCCAGCCAGGCTGTTTCTCCAGCTAGGAAACTAGAGCCTCTCTTTGATCTGCGGTAGGCTGGCAGTTGGCATTTCGATACAAGTTTACCAGTTTTAGTTTCAGTTATACATAAATGATATTGGTCCAGTAATATCGCAAATACAGACCCTATGCCAAGCAGTGCACAACTTATGAACTCATTACATGGAATTATTCTGTAGAGAAAAATAAAGAACAATTATCAGAAAAATGCGATATACACTGGTTTACATTTTTGATACCGTCAAAATATCAACTAAGTAAGTGATTCCTTCCAACTATGATCTAAACCTGCTTTATGTTTTCATTTCATTAAAATTATTTATTAGTTCATGTAATTTGCAAGAGCAAGTGATATCTCAGCACATTTGTGACCCCACCCCTCAGAGAAATTACTGTCTATGACTATAAGGGTCAAGTGTAAGGTCGATTTTGTTGGTCTTTATAATTATACGGTCAACATATTTGATGTGACCACACAATTTTTCTAGGAAAAGAGTTTGTGTGTAAAGTGAAAGCATTTCTATTGTATTCTTTTGTTGGTTACTATGGCGAAGCAACTTCATCGTTTTATTTGCTGAGAAGGCTAAAAAAGTCATAAATATTTCAATTGAAAAGAATCCTATATTAATAATAAAGTTAACAAATGTTTAAAAATTATTTTACCTTATCAAGTCTAAGGTTTGAAAACTCCATATGTGGATACCATTATCAGAAGCACATCCAATGTACAGACCATCAAATTGAAGATGAGGCTGGAAACACTGACTTCTATCCAAATTATTGGCTAGGGTTAGGGTTTTTAAACATTCTGTATTAACCTCTCGGCTTATTGGCCAAATCTGTAATTCAATTGATAATATGAAATGAATCCAATTTAAATTGTATTTAAACTGAACAACAAGAGATTATGACAGGTATTATCAGAGACTATAGGGGTTTGTAACTACGGTGACATGATACCAAGATCTTGTTTCAATCTCGCTCTTGCGTAAGCGTTCTTAACTGAACAATGCAAACGCACATGCCCAAGGTAACTAGGATAATGGGAGGTCCAGGTGGATCAAAATAGCTGCTCACGATATGTAGGATTACGAGAACTATATTTTCTGTACATTTTCGATTTATTACATTTTTTCACTATGGTAGTGGCGAGTCATGTTTTATTGTTTCATTACAAACATTGATATATGTCATGTCAGAAGGTCATAGCATCAGTCTTGCTATCTACGAATTGAGACTTGACATGATGTCACCAAACAGAACTATGTGCGTTGCTAACCCCAAGTAATGTACCTCTGATATTATATATCATATATTGATAATATATTTGATACATTCATTGGATGCACATACAGATATGACTTGCGATATATTTCATAAATCGTTTTAATGTATATAAAAAATTTACTTGCAATATATCTTTCTGATGTGCATACTTTGAGGTATCTTCATAATAACCTTTTTATTATACATCTTTTCCTTCCACGGATACGTCATGGGAATGCCGAATTCCAAAAAGTTTAGAACAGAATCAGCGAACTTCTTTGTATGGAGTCCGGTCAAACCCTGATGGCAGCCATTTTTTTTTTTTATTAGAGGACGCTTACGCGCGTAATCATTCCATATTTGGAATTTGCATTTCCATATGCTTTTTCCCCTTTTTATGACTTTTGAGAGCACTGATGCCCATGCTAGCAACGTCAAAATTTACCATGAAAACCGAACATCTGGCTTCGTACTGTGATAACGAACTTCGCATAATCCACTCCCCATAAACTTTGTGACTCAACCACAAATCCCGAAACTTGGTTTTCCCAATACCAGAAAAGCTAAGTGAGCAAACTAGGCCGTAGGTCGAAATTTTTACACAAAAAGATTGAAACCCACTGATCACATCACACAAATTACTTTTGCACATGCACATTACGTCATGTCAAAATGGCTACTCGTCTTGATTCAGATCGATTCGGAATGAGTCTCTAAACCGAACCCTTTTTCAGAGTCACCATATCCCCCCAATATTAACATTATTTTATTGCTTTCACAATCTCAAAAAAATCCATAGCTTACATTTATTTATTTCCTTTTTGCGATCCATGAAAAAAACAACACATACATTTCCTGGGCTTGCCTAAGTAGGCACTGAACGCATTTCTACAACAGCCAATCAACAAGCTGAATTCACGCAGCTCATGACCTTACGTTGCTGTGACAACCAACATGACCCCTAAACCGGCAGACTTCACCACAGATCGACAATCGTCAATTTATAATCAAAAGACGGAGAGGAAAAATTGGAGAGTGGCCAATAATAAAAAAAATGGTGAAATTCAAGGTTTTTCCAGGATTTTAAATAAAAAAGCAAAATTTCAAGGCTTTTTAAAGCCTGGAAAAGTGATTTTTGAAATTCCAGTATATTCCAGGAATTCAAGGCTGTGTACAAACCCTGTACAGGTATATATCTGCATATACCAGTACATTATTAGATATAAGATATATAACAAATATGGTATATTTACATATGGATCAAATATATCAGATATATCTGCATTTACTGAGAATGCATGTACACACAGATTGGGTAAACTCAGATTACCTTATGTTTATTCAATACATATGTCACAAATTATATGAGAGCTGTGAACAGCTTAAATTCAAATAAAATCACTGGGATCTGATGATTTTTGTTTACAAAATTACCGATACTTTAAAATCATTGTCCTAAAGCTCCAATTCAAAGAAAACAGAGTATTAAGCGTGGCATACCTTAATTTCATTTCTATCCATACTGATAAGTACGTAGTCTCCTTTGCTATGGACTATTGAGTCTATTGCACAATGACGTAAAAGCACCTGTATGTAAAGGAGAGTGATCATTTTAGTTTACCTAGATTTACCCAAACTACTGGAGAAATTATTGTGATAATACAAAATGAATATACCACACAAAATTAAACTTACGAGGATAATAATGAAGGGGCAAAGATTTCCCCTTTTCCATTTTACAATTAGCAACTTAGAAAATAACAAGAAACACTTCATATAATAAGAACAATATAATAAAAACAATATATTCTGATCGAGGATCTGAAGATGTTTTTTTCCGAAATTCAAAAATTTATGCATCCCACATTTAAATTGTTCTGCAATGTACATCTTTTGCTTTGTTTTATACTGCCATTCATTCATCCTGGTAAACATTTCAGAATGACTTTGAAAGTGAACTTTGAACATTTGTAGATCAGTCGTTTAGCGTGAATCATAAGCAGTAATGAAAATTGAGAGGAAAGATTCCCCTGCAACTGCCACACATAACCAGGGGTTTCACAAATTTATTTAATAGCAGGCCATCATCCTGTAGCAACAGGCCAAAAAAAAATAGTGTGAAGCACTACAGCGAGACTGACGTAGGCGGTCAAGGGCCAGAAAGTAGACGGCCAATATGGGCTTGTAGCAGGCCATATGGCCGGCGGCCGGCGACCGGCTCTTAACGAAACTCCTGCATAACTCATGAATTCAATAACTGAATTTGATTAATAGCCAAATCAATTCAAACTAATTCGGGGTAGCTCTCATTTCCAACACATTTTAAACGCCCCTACTGTATCATTTTATACATGCATATTCATTAACTGTGTAATATTCAGAATTATTCGGCACCAGATGTATAATCAGAAAACACAAAATACCAACGTGATATTAGTGTAGAAGCACAACAGAACAAAAATTTCAGTTTTCCCGATTGATTAATTCTTTGTTGACTTATAAGTTTCATTTGTCACACTGACGAAGCAATATTTTGCTCAAATTTGAAAATTAAATATGACAATTAGTGTGCACTAGCAATGAGATAACATTTTTTGGCAAACATCAATGTTCTGTATCTTGTGATGAATAGATGACACATGTACAAGCAGATTAAGATGAGTGAGTTGTTGATTATTTATTTATTAACATATTTATTTTTGCTATTTTTGCAGAAGGGATACTTCAGTGAAAATAAAATCCAGTTAATATACTTTTTTTCTATATTCAACTTGTCAAAAATCAGTGAAAATAAATTCCAAACAAAACACCCAAAGAGCCTTTTCAGCAAAAATTATTAATTCCAGCTAAAACAAGTCATTGTCAATGACACGTCCCCGTTCCGTTCATATTTGAGTGACATATACATTCAAAGCAGATCATGACCGAAATGCACCTGCATATGTACAACACATTGTACTAAATCTGAACAAAATCCATGCATGCATGACTGAGATCCGGTTCTGGAATTGTGAAAATACGTGATTTTAATGCATTTTCGGCCTTAAAATGGCCATCATTCAGCTATTGCTAAGCGGATCATGAAACAAATGCACATACATATTTGTGACATGATGTACCTTGTGTGTGTGAAGTTTGAACTTGATCAATCCAGACATGTCTTGGATACGGATCCAGAACTGAATTCTTTAAGAAAATGGCCGCCAGTCGGCCATTTCGAACTTGATCCGAAAAAAAAAATGACGTGCATCAAGGTCCTATTATGTTTAATGTAAGTACCGAATTTG